CTTCGTTAACCTCGCCGAACTTAACTATCTGTGATTTTATACTATTTGAGGAAGATAGGAAAGTATGGTCTTTATTAGTTTACAGATATGTATAATGTAGTCTTGTCCCACATTGGAAGAGGAGTAATATCTCCTTGTAGTGTATAGCTATAAATAGGGACCTCTTATATTGTATTTATCATCCAATATCAATAACATATTTTCTCCCGTGCCTTCTCACATGGTATCAGAGCATTAGTGAGAAAAGATCATTGTGCGTCATTCCAGCGTTAACCGGGAAGAAAGAACTTAGTCATCGTGCAATTTTTCCGGTGACCTAAGGCTTGTCTAAGTGAAAGTCACTTTCTGTCAGTGTTGTGCTAAAACCAACACCACCACGAGGTAGATCACCCTCCGACGACCAACCCCTGAAATTTTATCCGGTAGAAAATCCGCCACGCTCCTCCACGCGCCGGCAATAACTTTTCCGGTGAGGGTTCCGGCCATTTTTTCGTGAAGCTTCTTCAGGACAATATGCTCTCCTCAAAATTCCGAGCCTATCCATCTAATTCAAATCAAATTCCGACCACTTTTATATTTTTTCGGCGTGAACAGTGACCTTCCGACTATTGTTTTGAAAACATCTCTCAGGACAACTTGCTCGCAAAGGAATTCATAGTCTATCTATTCTGGTTACGACAAATTCTGACAACTTTGGAATTTTCCGGCGTGAACAGTGTTCCGGCACAGAACATTGTTCTGTTTTCCTGCTGTAAACAGTGTTTTTCAAGTTGTTTCTTCAGTTTTCTCACAGGAGTTACTTATTTCCAGTATTTAAAGTTAACCCTACTACTACAAATTGTAGCGACATGAGAACCGATGCTTTGAATAGTCAGATGGTTTCTTTAGCAGAGTATATTGAGTTCCTTCAGTATAAAGCATGTTAGCAGACATCTTCTGAGATAGATTCTGTTGTTCAAACAGGTAATAACGTGACTTGTTTCTCCCAATCTTTAACCTCTGAGTCTTGGGTCATTGATTCAGGTGCATCAGATCATATTTCCGGTAACAAATCTCTTTTCACTACTATTTCGTATTATCAATCTCTTCCAAAAGTCACAATGGCCAATGGGTCTCAAACCATGACAAATGCAATAGGTCAAGCAAGCCCACTTCTTTCCTTATCTTTATATTCAGTCCTTTATGTTCCCAATAGTCCTTTTAATCTTATAGTTGTTAGTCGCTTAACCAAATCACTTAAATGCGTTATTTTATTTCTTAATGACCATGTTTTTATACAGGAACGCAGTTCGGGGCGGATCATTGGTACCGGGCATGAATCAAATGGACTTTATTACCTTATCCTTGCTAAATTACATGGACTCACATCTTGTCTTCCTTCTACAACTTGTCCTGTTACTGATTCACCAGATTTATTACATAAACGGTTGGGACATCCCAGTTTGTCAAAACTTCAGAAAATGGTATCTGGTTTATCTCACTTGTTAGCTCTAGAGTGTGAGTTATGTCAGCTCGGTAAGCATACCCGCTCCCATTTCCCTCGGCGTCTTGAAAATCGAGCAGAGTCACCTTTTACTTTAGTCCATTCAGATGTTTGGGGTCCTAGTCAGGTCAGTTCCACCTTGGGATTCCGCTACTTTGTCAGTTTCATTGATGATTATTCCAGGTGCACTTGGATATTTTTGATAAAAAATCGATCTGAGCTGTTTTCTATTTTCCAGACCTTCCACGCTGAAATTCAAAATCAATTTGGGGTTTCTATTCACACATTTCGTAGTGATTATGCCCGAGAGTATTTGTCTTCCCCATTTCAGCAGTTTATGAAATCTTGGGATTATTCATCAATTATCTTGTCCGTACACATCTCAACAAAATAGGGTAGCTAAAAGAAAGAACAGACATCTTATTGAAACTGCTTGTACCCTACTCATACAATCTCATGCTCCGTTGCGTTTTTGGGGGGATGTAGTTCTTACATCTTTCTATCTTATTAATCGTATGCCATCTTCAGCTATCCAGAACCAAGTTCCATTCTCTGTCATGTTTCCCCACTTACCTTTGTTCTCTCTTCCACCTCGTATCTTTGAAAGCACTTGTTTTGTCCATAACCTTACTCCGAGAATAGATAAGTTAGCTCCTCGTGCTCTTAAGTGCGTATTTCTGGGTTTCTCGAGAACACAAAAGGGGTATCGATGCTAATCTCCTGACCTCCAACGGTACCTTATGTCTGCTGATATTACCTTATTTGAAACCCAATCATACTTCACAGGTTCAGGTCATCACTTAGATATTTCTGAGGTACTACCAGTTTCATCTTTTGAAGATTCAGTCACTCCAGCTCCACCATCTACAGCTCCAGTTATAACTCCACTACCTATAGCTCCAGTTGTAGCTCCACCACCTATAGCTCCAGTTGTACCACCTACAGCTCCGGTTGTAGCTCCACCACCTATAGCTCCAGTTGTACCACCTACAGCTCCGGTTGTAGCTCCACCACCTATAGCTCCAGTTTCTCCACATAATTCAGTTCAACATTCTGCAGTTCCACCACTCTTGACTTATCATCATCGTCCACATCCAGCATCAAGCCTAGGTGATTCATGCCCCGCATCAGATTCTGCACCTACTGCGGACTTGTCTCCTCTAAGTCAACCAATTGCACTCCGCAAAGGTATACGATCCACACTTAATCCTAATCCCCACTATGTCGTTTTAAGTTATCATCGTCTGTCGTCACCTCATTATACCTTTATATCTTCTTTGTCCACTATTTCTATCCCTAAGTCTACAGGTGAGGCATTATCTCATCCAGGATGGCGACATGCTATGATTGATGAGATGTCTGCTTTACATACGAGTGGCACTTGGGAGCTTGTTCCTCTTCCTGTAAGTAAGTCTACTGTTGGTTGTCATTGGATTTATGCAGTCAAAGTCGGCCCGGATGGCCAGATTGATCGGCTTAAGGCTCGTCTTATTGAAAAGGATATACTCAGATTTTTGGGCTTGATTATAGTGATACTTTCTCTCCCGTGGCTAAAGTAGCATATGTTCGTCTCTTTTTGTCCATGGTTGATATACGTCATTGGCCTCTTTATCAGTTAGACATTAAGAATGCTTTTCTCTACGGTGATCTTGAGGAAGAAGTTTATATGGAGCAACCATCTGGTTTTGTTGCTCAAGAAGATTTTAATGGTTGTGTGTGCAGATTGTGCAGGTCACTACATGGTTTGAAACAGTCCCCTCGATCTTGGTTTGGTAAGTTCAGTACAATTATTCAGGAGTTCGGCATGACTCGTAGTGAGGCTGATCACTCTGTGTTTTATCGACATTCTGCTCCTAATCTGTGTATTTATCTTGTGGTTTATGTTGATGATATTGTTATTACTGGTAATGATCATGATGGTATTACTAATCTGAAGCAACATCTGTTTCAGCACTTCCAGACAAAGGATCTGGGAAGATTGAAGTATTTTCTAGGTATTGAGGTCACTCAGTCTAGCTCAGGTATTGTTATTTTACAGCGGAAGTATGCCTTAGACATTCTTGAGAAGACTAGAATGATGGGTTGCAGACCTATTGACTCTCATATGGATCCGAATGCTAAGCTTTTGTCTGGACAGAGGGAGCCTCTTAGAGACCTGACATAGGAGATATAGGAGGTTGGTTGGCAAATTGAATTACCTCACAGTGTCTAGACCTGACATTTTTTTTTCGGTGAGTGTTGTAAGTCAGTTTATGGATTCTCCCTGTGATAGTCACTGGGATGCAGTTGTTCGCATTCTTCGGTATATAAAGTCAGCTCTAGGCAAATGATTACTGTTCGATGATCAAGGCCACGACAGATTATTGGGTACACAGATGTTGATTGGGCAAGATCACCTTTTGATAGACGTTCTACTTCTGGATATTGTGTTCTAGTATGAGGTAATTTGCTCTCATGGAAGAGCAAGAAATAGAATGTAGTTGCTCGATCTAGCGCCAAAGCCGAACATCGGGCCATGGCTATAGCAACGTGTGAGTTATTTTGGGTCAAGCAGTTGCTCAAGGAGTTAAAGTTCGGAGAAATCAGCAAGATGGAACTAGTGTGTGATAACCAAACTGCTCTTCATATTGCATCAAATCCGGTGTTCCATGAAAGGACTAAACACATTGAGATCGACAACTACTTTGTCAGTGAAAAAATACTTTCAGGAGATATTGTTACAAAGTTTGTAAAGTCAAATGATCAACTAGCAGATATTTTCACTAAGTCTCTTACTGGCTATCGTATTAGTTACATGTGTAACAAGCTCGGTACATATGATATGTATGCGCCGGCTTGAGGGGGAGTGTTAGTTTACAGATATGTATAGTGTAGTCTTGTCCCACATTGGAAGAGAAGTAATATCTTCTTGTAGTGTATAGCTATAAATAGGGACATCTTGTATTGTATTTATCATCCAATATCAATAACATATTTTCTCTTGTGCCTTCTCACAGTCCTGAAAACATAACTCATTTTACAACCACTGACTGTTGCTTCAAGACCAAAATAGAACAAGTTCATGAGAAATGCATGAAGGCCCATGCCGATAGAAAGCTTGTTGAATGACGTCGTATCAGAAGACATATTGGGGTATTGATTACTTGCAAATGTTGCATGGGACAAAGTTGACTTGAAGATATTGGATCAATATACACATTTTCACAGACCCAAGATCGTCTCAAGGAGACGAGAGATGAGAGCTAGAGCTATTGGAATTAGATTTTGTGGATAAGTAGGAAGTAGAGGTTGTTATCGAGAGGAAAAAGAGAATAGAATTCCACTTGTATTTGGCATGAAACTTAACATGGGATATTTTGGAGCTGCAAGATATCATAAGATATCTCCTAATACTAAGGTGCCTATGTGCTATATAGCAGCCAAAAAGTAGAAATACTAAGAATAAGAAGCCCACCCTGCCTACCTCTAAATATCAATCAATCAACTACTTTTCAATCCCAAACTAGTTGGAGTCAACTATATAAATCCTCGTCGCATTCAGAACCATGGAATTCCAATATGTAATCTTGTCTTTAGTTACAAATTTGAAAATTCTCTCTATGACTAGATGTACTCCAAAATCTCACATCTAAGCAAGCTAAAAAAGACTCCTGCAAGACACATGACTTAATGTAAGTGTAACATCAACAACTAACCGATAACACAAAGGAGGGAAAGAGGAAGGGCGGATGTAATTAAGAACGCTGAACTAAATCCTAATATTAGATTGATATATCAAACCATATGAATATTATGTTCATCATGCTAAGAAAATGCATACATATTGCATTGAACCTGTACAACAGTTCTCATTAATGGAGTAGAAACCAAGAAAATGGCAATCAAGCTGACCACAAAAAATGGGCACATCTAAAGAGAGATAAATACCCGTCAAAATATATCCCTAGAAACCATCACACAAGCGGAAATCTATATCTAAAATGACTTTTTTGGTGAGATTTCAGCTTCAACATGCAAAAATAACAAGAAATCTTATGTCAATCAGCTATGTATCAGTCCCCAAATTAGTTGGGCTGATTTCATTAAAGTAAATGATATTTAAAAAATTTAAAACCAAAGAATTATAGCAATTTTCGAAGAGATAAGCACCTACCAGTCTTGGAGAAAATTGATTCAGATGAGCTGATGAGCTTGGAAGCACACGACCATAAGCCGTTGTTCAAAGCCATTGCCGTTCTCTCTTCCGGATTTTTCGATAGCGAGGGTTACAAAGTATAAGCATTTTGGTATTTTCAATTTATATACTAGCCAATTTTTATTTTTCATTTTTAAGAATTTCCCATAGCGCCAGTAGTAATATTTTTATATCGATGAGCAATTAGACCTTTTTCTAAGAAAACATTGAGAGTAATGATTATAAATGAATACCACCCTATTCACGCATACTTCCCCTTTTAATTTGTCCCAAATAATAATATTTTTATATTTAAAATAATTTAACTTTAACTTCGTTTTGCCTCAATTACTTATTTTTGTAGTCACAAAAATATTTGACGCATGATTTAAACTCTAATTTAAAAAAATCTATTTGTCTTGATGTTTTTTATTTTATCAAATTAAGGTACTGTTTAACCGAAAAGCAGATAGAGTTGAATTTATACGTAGTTCTAAGGATATGTGGTATAACTTGGTACAAATTAGAAAAATAAGTAAAAATATATCGAATATTGACTGTAAAAAAGGAGTGAAAATACAAACCAAATTGAGTAGAGAATGATTTATAAACGAGCAAGATGAATCAATGTCCAAAGCCCAAAAAAGGATAATCTATACTATATATCTGTATAAATATCAATAATCTTTGAAATGTGAGAGTGTATTGATTTCTGAATCTTCAATGTTCAATCTTTCTTACAGAAATGATAGCCACTCTTCATATAGTGGAGGAATCCTACTTTGTATATAATTAAAAATACATAATGGGGATCCCATGATAGATTAGTTAATTATCTTTTCCTTAATTCCAGTCGGGATTCTCTCCCCTAGTGCGGCTACAACGGCTCTTTGTCTCTTAGCTCGATCTTGGTCGGTCTTGGTATTGGTCAATCTCTGGTTCTCGAGCTCGATATTGACTCGAGCTCGGTATTTATCGATTTCGGGCTCTTGAACTCGATAACACCACTTCACATCATAGCTCGATATTGACTCGAGCTCGACATTGCCTCGAGCTCGGCATTGATCGACCTGGATCTCGAGCTCGACAACCCGACTTCACATCATATCTCGATATTATAATGATAACCCTCGGTCCATTATATTACAATATTGACTAATTATACGAAGGGTAAACTCGATTTTGACTGTATACAGATAGTCCCCTCGTTTCTAGGAAAGAATGTGGCGAGAAACGATATGATTTTTCAACCTCTAATTAGATACACACTGACGCATGCGTCGAGCCCGATTATGACGTATGTGTCAAATGTCCCGTCGGTTCAGTTACCAAGACATTAAATATGCATCACACGATGGTCGGCCACTGCTGATTTTGAACCGTCATTGCCAAACCTATAAATTGCCCCCCTTATTCATTATTTTAAACCTTTTACCTTCAACTCTTTTCATTCCAACCTTCACAGTTCTTCGTCTTCTCCAAAGTTCTCTATTTCTAGCTTTAAGAATTTCTTTGTTTGTTCTTTGCCAAACACCAAAATATTTCAGTTTCCCATCTTCTTTGTTCTTGAAAATTTAGATGGCTAAGATATCTAAAATCGTTCCTCAGAAAGAGGTTGCTTCCCCATCTCATCCGGCTGGTGAGAAACCGATGGTGGAGCCATGCCTCGAAGAACTAATTCCCGGGGGATGTGTTATCGATTCTGACTTTAAGGTCGAGAAACCCTCATCGGTTGCTGGTCGGTGTGAGCCGGTATTGAGATATATATGCTCGATACCCCAAAGCCTTATTGATTTAGTGAAGAAAGATTGTGGTTAGGAAAACAAAGAGGTTGTGATACCGGCACTAGAGGAAGCGATCACTACCCACGTGGAAGGATACTTGAGTATTTACACTTATCCTTTCACGCTGGGTCCCCTCGATCCGATCATCATCGACTTCTGCAAAAAGTACCAAGTAACTCTCGGCCAAATACATCCTTCTTTCTGGAGGATTGTAATACAACTTCGTTTCTTTGTGAGCAAAATCGACGGGCTTCCCTTTACCCTCGACCACCTCATAAGATTATATATCCCTCGTCTTTACCGAGGTAGGATAATAAAGCTTCAGCACCGGGCCACCAAGGCATTCACCTCGAGCATAGATGAAGACAAAGATCGGGGTTGGATGAGACGGATTGTTTGAGTGAAGACCTCGTACTTAATCCCGGCTGAGAGTATGCCATTTCCCTAGAAATAGAATATGAATTGTAAGTGTGATACCGTTTTTAGCTTTTGTTGTTTTTACTTCTTCATCTTTACTTATCAGTGCTTTTCTTGACACATCTCGAGAACTGGGTCAGGAGCCTGGTTTCGACGTCGACATATGCCGAGCGCACATGGTGCGATTTGTCAAAAGGATGATGGGAGGCTCGTACTCATGGTAAACCTTCTTTTTGGCTCACCGATTTGCTTATTGTTCAAGTATTTTTTTAGGCATAAGTTTTACTTACTTTTCTTTCTTCGTAGGTCTCAGAAAAGATGTGGTTATGAGACCCCCATCAGGTGATGAAGAAGTTTTACCGCCTTCCTCAAAACCAGAGAAGGCGATTAAGAGAAAAATGACCTCGGACTCCGAGGGCCAAAAACCCAAAAAGAGAGCGGCTCGTAAACCCAAGGTGAACGTAATCCCTTTGACCATGGAGTCGGTCTGAGTCTATGGGACGAAGAAGAAGAAGAAGAAAATGATTTCGGGTTGTTAGTCTGTGCCCGGGCTAGTACCGATACTCAGAATACTTCAGTATCGGTGGGAGTTGATACTGCTCCGACCAGGCTTGATGAGGTCGAGGAGGGGACTTCGACCCAAGTTCTCGAGCCAAGGGAGACCGAGGATGTTTTACCTTGGGGTAAAGAGACCGTCGAAGAGGCAATGAATACCGGTGCACAAACTGAGCTTGGGGCTCCCAAAGACGGAGTCGGTGCCTCAAAAGACCTACTCGGGGCGATAGAGATTGGGGGTTCCCCCTCTTTCCTTTTCTTTTCCCAATTGATCATACGTGACACTCAATCTGTGAAGATTTTCCACGGGGAAGAGGCCCATAGAGGGGAGGATCCTTTCCGTGGTTATTTTAATTGGGTAGAAGAGGTTACCGGCCTGAGTGACTTGGAGGCTTCGAAAAAGAGCTCGAGCGAGGTGGGAGAGCCTTGCCTATTTAACAAAGCCCAACAAGCCCTGAATCGGGTAAGTTCATACTTTCTTTGCCAATTTTCATACTTGTGTTTTCCTCTCCTTGTATAATCTCTTCTTATTTTTGTAGGCTTCTGTGCTTCATCACGGGGCATTTTTTCAATCCCGAGGGGAACTGAGCTGGTACGAGGCCGAAGTTTGAAAGCTTACTGAGGAGAGAGATGCCTTAAAGCTTCTCAGTGAGCAGAGAGAAGGAGAAGTAAAAGGACTTCGGGCCAAGCTGGAAGCATCTCGAAAAGAACAAGTTGAGCTGGCCGAGCAGGTACAACGACCCTTTGAATTTAATGATATTGAATTGGGATTGATGGCTAATAATTTGGTCCCACAGGTCGAACAAAGGTTCGATGCGATTAGGCAGCTTCATGCTGAAGTGGACGCAGTGAAATCGTTGGTCGAGGAGTGGAAAAAGAACATGGACCGCCTCACCTCAGAAAAGGAGACTGCCCGAACTCAACTGGCTTCGGCCGAGGCCCAACTTCGAAGCATAAAAGAGAAAGCCTTGGTGCAAGCCAAGAAAATCGAGGAGTTGTAGTCTCAGTTGAGCTCAGCAAATTTTGATCGATAGTGATTGGCCACAGAACTTGCAGCGGCCAAACAGAGGTCGAGAAAATGATGGCCAATGCTGATGCAATGGTGGCCGTTTATCGATCTGATGCCGAAGCTGCTCAAGTTCGAGCAAAGGAGGTTGTTGAGGCTGCTCAGGCTCGGGCAAACTGGATTGCCGAGCATGCTAAATGCTAGTCTCGAAGGGAGACTCTCGAAGAGATTCATGCTCGTGGCTTCGATCTAACAGCCGAGATCGAAAAAGCTAAGGAGCTTGAAGTCGAAGCAGAGTGTTGGCCTTTCCCGATGATGATGACACCAGGAGCGTGAGCGGATCTGAAAGTGAAGGGGGCCTCGAAGGCGAAGATGCTGCTCCCGAAGAGGACTAAAATTCTTTTAATATTTTTTGTGCTTCTTATAAGATAGTTTTGGTCTTTTGTAAATAAATTTGATCAGGCCTTCTTGCCCTTGTAAATGATTTTGACATGAATATAAAAACTTTTCTTCCTTTCATATCTTCTGAATCTTTTGCCTTTTGTTAACTTGTACAAAGGTCAAAAGTGCCTTAGCATTGAATAATTATTCGGAGGTCCAAGATTGAGATAGTAAGGATCGATAATGAGTACTGCACTCGACCGTTTCTTATAGGTAGTCCCCGAGTGAATGTTCGAACTCGAACTGAGGTGGCCTTTAGGCTTGATAGATAGATGTCAAATGAAATGATTCACTAAAACTTGAAGTAGAGTAGCCTTTTTAAGCTTGACACGTAGTCCCCGGTTCGGGGTAATAGTTTGAACTTGAATCAATGTGGCCCTTGGGCTTTGTGATTGAGTGAGAATGATTTCGCGGGCTCGAAGTAAGAGTAGCCTTTAGGCTTAATGGTCGAGTGAGTGTTTGCTCAAACTCAAAATGAGAGTAGCCCTTAGGCTTAATGATCGAGTGAGTGTTTGCTCGAATTCAAAGAAAGGGTAGCCCTTAGGTTTAATGGTCGAGTGAGTGTTTGCTCGAATTCAAAGAAAGGGTAGCCCTTAGGTTTAATGGTCGAGTGAGTGTTTACTTGAACTCGAATTAAGAGTATCCCTTAGGTTTAATGGTCGAGTGAGTGTTTGCTCGAACTTGAAATGAGAGTAGACCTTAGGCTTAATGATAGAGTGAGTGTTTGCTCGAACTCGAATTAATGTAGCCCTTAGGCTTTATGGTCGAGTGAGTGTTTGCTCGAACTCGAATTAATGTAGCCCTTAGGCTTTATGGTCGAGTGAGTGTTTGCTCGAACTCGAAATAAGGGTGGCCATTAGGCTTAATGGTCGAGTAAGTGTTTGCTCGAACTCGAATTAATGTAGCCCTTAGGCTTTATGGTTGAGTGAGTCTTTGCTCGAAC